TTCTACTGAAGATTATCCAAAAACGACTGGAACAGCACATCAGCAGACTGTTTATATAGAATTGAATAAAATAAAATAAAATAAAATTATAGTCACTTTAGTCCAACATAACTTTATTCAGTATTTACTATTTGCAAGGAACTAAACTTAGGTCATTTAGTAGCTCTAGTGATACCATGAATTACACGTTCTGTTGATAACACGTTCAAATCCATCAGCAGCTCAAATCCACAAGCTATTTTTAGGAGAAAGATGGGCAGGCAAGAGCAGTGGTGAGTTTCTAAATTAGTTCCTAGAAAGGCTATTCTTTGGAGAAGGAAATCATGCTTGGAAAGATGCAGGTACAAGAAGAGAGAGGAAAACCCTCAGCCAGGTGGACTGACACAGTGACAACATCAATGGGCTTGAGGGTGTAAGACATTGCGACGGTAGTACAGGATTGGATAGGGTTCAGATGTGTTGTTCACAGGGTCTCTATGAATCATACTCGACTCAATGGCATCTAACAATAACAGTAAAGCAAAGGCCACTGCCCTTGAGAAGCTTATAGCAATCTTTAAAGTGTTTATTTAATGTAAATATAAATGCAAAGATATATTTAACCCAGCATTAGGGGATTAGGACTACCTTCCTGCAAAAGATAAAGTACTAGTTGAGGCATGAATTAACCAAGTTTAAGAAAAAAGGATTGGAAGCATGAATAAAAGCCAAAATTGGTTTCTACCATTGAACCTTTATTTATTTATGAAGGTAATCTCTGTTCTTTTAGCCCACAAATTACTTCTCAGAATATCCTTCCTTCATTTTGCCTCCTTAAAAATTTATCATTTTTTTAAGTCTTGTCCAAGCCTCACTTCCTAGAATATAAGTTGACCACTCCAAAACAAATATATATAATACAGAAATACCGTAGGATCTATAGCTTGTTGAGAAAAACCCTAGACTTAAATAAATACTGAAATGTGGTTTAATATTTATTAATGTATCTTACAGAATTACAAGCTCTCCTGTGTAAAATTCTAAATTATAAAAATCAAAGCACAGAGTTACTTCTGAAGACACCTCCAAAAAGTAAATATTGTTCTAAAATAAAGGCTAAATACAGAAGAAGTAAAAAAAATAAAAATAAAAATAAAGGCACAGTGTGAAGTTAAGAAAGAGAACTATGGTTTACATTTATACATACCATTCTCAGATTTCAGCTCTTCCAACTCCATAGATCTAAGGAGCAAGGTTCCATTTTCATTCTCTAGTTCTATCACTCTCTTTTTCAGAGAGGCAATATTTTCCTCTGTGACTGCCTAAATTGTAGAAACACAACATATTGATTCTCCAATAAAAAAAGTTCTCATCTTAATGCTCAGTTTAACGCTCAGATTTTTATATCTTCTCAATATTCTCCAGTCATGAAAACACTTTAAAAATAACATCTACAAATATGGTCAAGGAATAGTTGAAGCTATGGTTTTAGCCTGAAGGTAAAAAAAAAATGAAATAAAATGGTGGCCTAGAGGCAAGAACCTACTAGCTGCTCCATGGAAGAATGACAGGCAATCTCCTCCTGTGCAATTAATTGCCTCTGAAAACCAGCTGGAGGGTCAGCTACGGGTCTGTTCTGACTTGACGGTACACAACAACAACAACAACACAAACACAAACCATGGTGTTTAAATTTAAGATTGAAGCAATATTATAAAGACAGAAATACTATGTCTATTAAGGAAGAGGGAGCTCTGGTGGCCTAGTGGTAAGAAGGTGCACCGCAGTACCAAAAGCACAGGGTTCGAGGTCACCAGCTGCTCTGTTGGAGAAGGATGGGCAATCTCCTTTGTGATTAATTACCTCTAAAAACCCACTGCAGGGGTGGAAGGGGTCAGCTAGGGGTTGGTTCCGACTCTGCAGTACACAACAACATTAAGAAAGGTAGTATAAGAAAAAAAGTTTCAAGTCCATAAGAAAATGGTGTTTTAAGATTACATTAATGTCATGAAGTAACAAGGTCTCTCTCCTGAAGGAAAGTGAAGATGGAGAAAAGTTTCCCAAAGAGGAAGAGACACAAAAGTTAGTGTGTACCTATTAAGAAAGAAGAAACACAATTCTCCCCCACACAATTCTCCCCCCTCTTAGTAGCTTAATAATTCTCTCCCAATTAATTTCTGCATCCAGACTGTCTGGTTTTCATAATTTTGTTGTTTAATGTATTTTTCTGTTGTTGTTGTTGTTGATTGCCTTAGAGTTGAGCAAAACTCATTGCGACTCTATGAAGCCTGAAGCCCTGCTGCAACCACTGACATTTATCAAAGTTCATAGTGTTTCCAGAGGCATGTTGTTTAGGAAGCGGATGCCATGCCTACTTCTAAAACAAAGGGATTAATTCTCTACAACTTTTCATTAAATTATTCTATTTTTTTAGATATAAGGGCTTTTATAGTACACTCAACCATTCAAGTGATGTTGCAAGACTTGGGAAGGGATAAATTTAGGGTTCTTAAATATTTTACAAAATTTTTACTTTGTATTGATTTGCATACAGAATTTGTATACATTGTGTTTCACACTTTCCTTCATTCACACTGTTTCATACCAATATTCCCATACATTGTGATTTATAAAATTAATCACCACTGAACTACAAGGGTTCTTACATTTTTACCCTATGTTTGTAACATGTGTGTACTTATTGTTAGGTGCCACTGAGTCAAGTATGATTCACAGCAACCCTATGAACAAAAGATGTGAACCCTGTCCTACCCTGTGCCATCCTTACAATCTCTGATACATTTGAACCCATTGTTGCACTCACTGTGTCAATTCACCTCATTGAGGGTCTTCCTTTCCTTTGCTGGCTCTCTGTCTTTCCAAGCATGGTGTTCCTTTCCAAAGAATAGCTTTGCCTAGCTACATGCTCAAGGTATGTGAGGCAAAGCTTAACTATCTGACTGCACTGTTTCAAAGACACATGTTTGTTCTTTTGGCAGCCCATGAGATACTCAGCACTCTTCAGTACAATTCAAAGACATCAAAACTTCTATCATCCTTATTAACTGTCCAGCTCTCTAATGAATAGCAGGTGACTAAAAAGACCATTGCCGGAATCAGGAGCACCTCAGTCTTCAAAATGGCATCATTGCTCTTAAGTACATTAGACTGGTCCTGGACAGAGAGAGGTCTTGCCCAATGCAATATGTCTCCAGAGTCCCTGACTGCTGACCAAGGGTACTGAATGATGATTCAAGCAAAAGGAAATTTGCACTGGAAAGGAAAAAAGTCAAACTCATTGCCAATGAATCGAATGCTACTCAGTTACCCTGCAGTACAGAGGAGAAGTGTCTCACAAGGTTTACAGAGCTATAAATATTTATAAAGTGAGAATGTGACATCACTCTCCTATAGAGCAGCTGATGGATTTGACCTTCTGTATGTGAATGGCACGTGATAAGGCAGCATTTCATTCTGTGGTACATGAGATTTTTATGAGGTGGAGCCATTGTGAGTGCATCTAATAACAAGAGAGATGTGAACCTAAATATACCAATAATCACATCGTATGTAAATGACGAATTGAGAATGAGAAAATAAAATGGAAAGCCTAGATGTCACAAACTAGGAAGTAATAAGGAAAGGAAAAAAAAATCAAACCAAAAACCACCCTAATACATATTAGTGCCCAGCACTGCGTAAGGACCATTAGGCTCTGCCAGTTATTATATCCATTAGAAATATTTTTTTTACTCTTAAAAATAAAAGCCAGATGCACCTCATTATCCCTGTTGATAGAAGGTAAATTAAGATCATCAAACTAAATTCTCTTGCTTGGACATTCACATTCAATAAGCAGCCTTTCAGTGATTATAATCTAGTTGCCTCAAGGAAGTTAGTAGAATAGTCATTTAATCAGCCAATTTTTTTACTGTAAATTGAAAAATGGGAGCATTGTAATTTCTGTAATTACAGAAATTTTATTTTTTAGTTAGCCTGAGTTGTGGAAGGTACCCCAATCAAATATGACTCTGCCAAAGACAAAATTACCTTTTGAATCTGAAAAGTGGATTAAAGGTAAAAGTAATGATCTATCTCCAATATAGATTCCTAATTACTTAAAATCAGAAAGGCTTCCAAAATCAAGATATCTTAGCTATTACTTCCTTATTATTAGCTGCTTATGCACTACATTAATGCTTTTATCTATCCTTTTCAAATTTAAGATACTGCCACCAAAAATCGTTTCATCATAGGGGGAAAGAGTGAAAGCAGACGGGTGAGGATGGGGGTGTTGTTTATCTTGGGGTCACACAATTTGATGGGTGAGGGAGGTCAGGGAAATGGGAAGGAACTGGTGTGAAAAACAATATATTTGAATTTTATAAATAAACTAGTGTAATAAAAAAATTTTTTTAAACCCCAACTTTTCAACAAGAGGCATCCAAACTACCAAAGAGGAGGTAAAACTGTCAATATATGCAAAAGATATGATAGTGTATACAGAAAACCCAAAGACCCAACAAAAACCCCAATAGTCTTAGTAGACCAATTTAGTAGGGTGCAAAGATACAAGACCAATATATAAAAATCAGTGGGATTTCTCTATAGCAACAAAGAAAACATGAGAAAAGAAACTAAGAAAGCAATACCATTTACAATAGCCAACCACAAGATTAAATACTTGAGAATAAGATTATATATTTGAGAATAAACCTAACTAGAGACACAAAGACTTTTATAAAGAAAGTTACAAACACTACATGAAACAACTAACTAAATAGAAAAATATTCTCTATTCACAGATAGGGAGGGAAACTCAACACTGTGAAAATTACAACCCTACAAAAAGCAATTTACATGTTTGACACAATCATAATACAGATAACAAAATCTCTTTCTTCAAAAAGATAGAAAAGGCAATTTCTCCCAAAAAATAAAAATTAAGTGGGGGGCATAGCATTCCTTGATCTCAAAACCTATTACACAGCCATAGTAAACAAAACAGCATGGGATTGGTACAATGACAGACACATAAAATCAATGGAACAGAATCAAGAACCTAGAAATTAACCCATCTACCTACAATCAATTCATATTTGACAAGAAAACAAAACCTATCAAATGGGGAAATGACAACCTTTTTTGACAAAAAGTGATGGCAAAACTGGACATTCATCTGCAAAAATTTGAAACATGACCCACAACTCACACTATACACAAAAATCAACCCAAAGTAAATCAGAGACCTAGGGATGAAACTCAAAATCACAAGGATCAAACAGATAAAACTGGACCAAACTTAAGACACCCTAACCTATGGCATAAATAGGCTTGTAAATATAGCCAGAAATGCACAACCAGGAAAGGATGAAACCGACAAATGAGACTTTCTAAAAACCTAAGTCCTTGTATGCATCAAAAATTTTTTTCAAAATGGCTACAAACCGAGAAAATTCATCGGGCAATGACATTTCAGGTAAGGATCTCGTAACTACAGTTTACAAAATACTACAGGGCACAACAAAAGAAAAAGTTTGATAACATGGTAACAAATGGGCAAAGGCATAAAGAGATACTTCACAAAGGAAGACATCTGGATAGCCAACAGACACATGAATAGACATTCAAAATCAGTGGCAATCGGAGAGATGAAAATCAAAACCACATAAGATACCATCTCACCCCAGTAGCAGTAGCAAAATTTTAAATGTTGGAGAGGATGCAAAGATATTCAAACTCTCATGCACTACTGGTGGGATTGTTAAATGGTACAACCACTATGGAAGGCAGTTTGGCATTAATGGAGATATATATATACACCTATGTTCACAGTAGCATCATTCACACAGCAAGAAAACAGAAACAGCACAAATGTTGATCTACAAACGGATAGGAGAAATTGTGGTATATTCACACAATGGAATACTATGCAGCAGTAAGATGTAATGTTGTTGCTGTTGTTGACTGCTGTCAAGTTGACCACAACTCATAGGGAACCTATGAAATGAAGGCCTGAAGCCTTTCTATAATTATTGTCATTTCTCCAGGTTCATAGAGTTTCCAGAGGCATGTGGTTTAGGAAGTGAATGCCACTCCTGCTTCCAAACCTGTCTTAAGCTGGGAGCTCCACCAAACACTGTCCACCATGGGCAACCATTATGGCATTTGACCTTCAATGGCACAAGGTTCAGCTTCACAGCAAACCCAGATTACCTCAATACAGCAAAATGACAGAAGAGTGTTGTACAGCAACTCTAGGTCCTCAGGCCCAATTGACATTGAAATATATATACACAAACAAAAGATGAACAAAAGGCCT